ATATATATATATATATATATATATATATATATATATATATATATATATATATATATATATATGTATATATATAATATATATATATATATATATATATAATATATATATATATATATGGTAAATATGTACACAATTAGAGATAAAGTAAAATAATGTAAACTTTGAAATACCTTTAAAAGTAAAGGATTTTCAAAAGCATACATGTAAATATATCTTGAAAGATTTGTAAATAGGTATTTATTAACTTTCTGTTGTATATTAATAAATGATATTTCCAGAGATGTTTTTCATACCCTTAATATGTATTTGGTACCTGTGATTGAGGCAAAACCTTGTGGATTTTAATTAAACCACAAAAGTTTTTACATCAAAAGTATGTGAAGCTAACAATATGAAATCAGAAGGCACTTATTGCAAGTCTGTCTAGCTTATAGGCAACATGCAAATCTTGTTTTCACTTGGAATGTACTCAGTCCAAATTACAAGAACTTTCCACTGATTTTAGATATTACCATGCAATTTACAAGCAAGTAATGGGGTTAAACTCCCAATCACACCCACTCATTGATAACCTTTAAATCTTCATCTTTAATGTAAAAGAAATGTATAATACATAAATGTATAATTGCATTGTTATATATGCACTGCATGACTGACAAAATATTTATGAATTAGGCCCAGTCCACAAGTTGCTTTGCCCGTGTGGTCATTTGTAGTTACCAAAGTATAATTCAAGGTATCAATAGGAACATTTTATTTCTTATTCTTTTTTATCAAAGTGATTTAGGTAAATATGATAATACTCCACCTTAGAAATTATAATTTATTCTTAGTGATTTCATACCTTTTGTATATATGAGTAACAAGTAAATTTTCTGTTATCCTTCAATTTCTACTTCTCCCATTTTTTTAACTATAGCCTTTAATTATCATATCATATATGTTTATTCCACAGGAATACTCCCACTTGTATAAAGTAATACTTGTATAACCAAATAATTATGCAATTAATTGTGCAGTAAATTTTACACTGGGATATTATCAGCCTATAGATAGACATCCACTGGTGACATGAGCTATAATATGTTTTTCTATGGCACTATCAAAAAGGGGCATGGCTTTCTAAATATTCAGATTGAATGGACTATAAGGTTGTATATTCAGATACTTTTTGAGTATACACTTACAATATAGTATTTTTATATCACAGGACTGGGTACCCAAACAATAAACACATAAACACTGGCTAAACTATGTAAACAAAGATTGGTATTTGAGAGTAGCCTGTATGCAAGAATATTTATTCTAAATCCAAATGGTAAAAATTATGGAGTTTAGTTAGGAAGTGGTTGATCCAAATCATGATTTTTTTTAATCCAATGTAAATCTGTTTAGACTGCAAGACTTAGTCTTACATAAGGCATGTCAAGTTTGGGCAGAGATGGCATAACGAATTAGCTACAATGCTGCAATAAAAATGAAAACATTAAATAATATTTGAAGGACTTTGTGGTGAGTAATAATAACAATGTTAAAGAGAAGACGATATGAATAATATAATCATTTTAACAATTACTATTCACTGTTGTTATCATACTTGTTGAAATCCTATTTAGCTACCCCTCCAAAATGCATTCTCTGAATGTACTAAGGATATAGATTTGGTACATTTCTAAAAGGACATTTTATGCTGTTATTTCAATGTTATTACTCCATTTCTACTATAAAAATATTCCAGAAGTGATTGTTGGCTGTGTATGTTATTTAAATCTGGTTGCACTAATACATTTAGTAGGGAATATATAGGGTGTATCTATATCTGACTATTTATCTGTATCTGTACATGTATATATATATATATATATATATATATATATATATATATATATAGATAGATAGATAGATAGATAGATATATATATATATATATATATATATATATATATATATATATATATATATATATATATATATATATATATATATATATATATATATATATAATATATATATATATATATATATATATATATATATATATATATTATATATATATATATATATATATATATATATATATATATATTATATATATATATATATATATATATATATTATATATATATATATATATATATATATATATATATATATATATTTATTTATTATTTATTTATTTATTTATTTTATTTATTTGTTTATTTATTTGTTTATTTATTTATTTATTATTTATTTATATATATATGTATGTATATATTATATGTATATATATAAATATATATATATATATATATATATATATATATATATATATATGTGTGTGTGTGCGTGTGTGTGTGTGTGTGTGTGTGTGTGTGTGTGTGTGTGTGTGTGTGTGTGTGTGTGTGTGTGTGTGTGTGTGTGTGTGTGTGTGTGTGTGTGTGTGTGTGTGTTGTGTGTGTCCTGTCCACTACTGCAGTGCATATGCATTGTGCACTTAATAATTTAACATGGCAGTGTTTTATATACGCAAGGCGAATTGGAATATTTGTGATATACCCTACGCTGACCAAGAATCAGACCCAAGGTGAGGAGGTTAGCCTCTTCTGGACACCTCGGCCGCCGGAGGGCAGAGCGCGTACTTTAAATGTAACTGAAAGGCACCGACGACACCCTCTGATTTTAATGTTTCGACGGCTAACGTTCGGCGATTTTTCTATGTATATTCTGTGCATGTGTTTTTTTTTTTTTTTTTTTCAAAGGCGAGCGTTTTCATAGTCAACTTTTCATTTGTTAATATACATTCATGTTATTCTGCTTTCAAAGGCAAACGTTTTGTAAATCTTTATTTGTTGATTGATGTATACATACGCCTTTTACTTTCAAAAAATCATCAGAGAGCGTTTTCATACACCAGTTTATTTTACCTGATGATATAATTATTAAATCATTTTCGTTCTGGCTTTCAACAGCAGACGAACAAGAGAGAATACAGTTCATCCCATAAAGTTCACGTAAAGTTCATACCTTGCGTTTTTTTCTCTAACATCAGACTTTCAACCATTTCTATATATTTCGTCGTTCTTACATAGCTTACATTTGTTCTGTATTGTATTCGTTTCCCATGTTTCGTTTTCACGTAGCGCATTTACACCGTTTAGTGCAGGGGTGTCATACAGGCGGCCGGCGGCACATTTGCTCTTTCAATCTTAACATGACTAATCAAGAGAGTCCTTCGGCTATTATGGTTATCACTTACACTCTTACAGTTTCTTATTTCTATTATTGTGTTTTTTTTTTTTTTTTATAATGAATGGTGTCATACTCATGGTTCGCGCGTTGTGGCCCGCGGGCTGACCAAGAAGAATTTTTACCCTGTGAAATCATGATCGCCGTAAAGAAAAATAACGCCATGTACAATCTGTTGCTATTAATATCATTATTTAAAATCTGACAAGTAAAATCAACTATACGTACAAGAACAGAATACCAGCTTTAGTAACGTAATCTGGGAAGACCGGTATAAACCTTTCTTGGCCCCAAGATGGTTACTCAAGGGAAAATTGGCCCGCGATGGCATTTGATTTTGACACTCCTGGTTTGGCGAGTTTGTATGTGAATGCATTATCATATTGAACTAGAAATCATGTCACCAAAGTATAAGGCATGTTACCATGATCTAAGTTATACTAATGTTACACTGTCAGTACCTTATCATGCAATAAATTGAGTTGTTATATTGGAGGGTATGTTGTTAGACTTGTTATATAATATACTATTTTACAATGCCGGGAGTATTGTTATCATTCAGTGCATCGTGTTAATTTAATAAGAAGAATGATGCTTCGTTATATACTGCGTTCCAGTACAATGGATTATTTAGCTGTGCTAGAAAATGTATCATCGTGCTACGTACGCGTGCACTGGAGCTACTTTTTTCAGCCGGATAGGATTGGTTGGAGGTCCTGGAAGGTGATCTAGCTAGATCGTGCGAAGAGCTAGTCCGGAAAATGAATCAGCGAGATATTAAAAGTGGTGGGGCAAACGCACTTGCTGCTTTCTTTTGTGTTATTATCGTAACAATATAATAATTAATACTAATCTTAAGATTACAGCAAACAGTATTCACAATCTTTGCACATTACTGTTAATGGTAAAGCAAGACCATGTTTCGTGGCTATTTCATAGCAGTGCTGCATAGTCCGGATCTGGCGGTCCGCCCTCCATGAACGGAGCAACTCTCTTCCACTATCTGTGGACTCTTCCGTGAGGGTTCTCTGTATGCTGGTCCTCGGAAGTTCTAGCAAGTTCTTCGTTTGATATGGACATTTTATCCCAGATTTTTTTGAAAGTGTAGAGTCGTGTTTATTGGCTCGATTCTGTATTTGTCGTACAGTGCTGATATTGAAAGTTCGGTGTTTTCCTTGTTTCTGTTGGTTGCTGTTCGGAGTGCGCGGCTCTGTAACTGTTGCATCTTCCTGATGTTTGTTTTGGAAGATCTGCAAAGAGGGATGGCTGGGTACTCTGTGATTGGTCTTATGAGGGTTTTGTAGAATTGCAGTTGCGTTTTCGTATTCATTTCTTTAAAGCGTTTTAGTTTGGTGAATTGCTTTTTGGCCATTGCAAGTCTCTCTTTAATGTGAGTTGACACCCCGATGGTGCCGAATTCCGTGCCAAGTATCGTTACTTTGTTGCAGAATGGAATTCTCTCTTGGTCAACAATTACTTCCCTTGGTTTTGTGGCTGATACTGAGAGAAGTTAAAATATATTTTATTTGCTTTAATCTTCCATCTCTTTTCGAAGTCATTTATCCTTTTGATTTCATTTACTTTAACTGCGGTTAGCAGTTCTTTTGACTTTAATGGATATAGCATGATCTGAGTTATATCGTCGGCAAAGCTGACATCTACGCAATTGTTGTTGGGTCTTTCAAGGTCTGCCGTGTAGAACATGTAAAGAGTGGGGCTTAATGCTGATCCTTGCGCCACCCCACTCAGTAGTGGGAATTTCGGTCCTGCAAT